AATTAACAGTGCTGTTTCTAAAGTGGCGCTGGGAAACAGTAACAAAGCCTACATAGAACACGAGGCGAAATAACCTTAGCATTTGAAGCCGATGACACAAAAAAAAATTATAATATAAGTAACTTTTACCCAAAGAATTTTCTTCTCCAAACATTAATAACGGATATATGCCATAAAATATAAAAACGACCCCTCAGATGTTCTAACTGCCCAATATCTAATAAGTTTACCCTAGGCAGGAACAAAGCTTAAGTTTAAAATTAATTGTTTTTCTCTTTATCCGTTTTTGAGTTTTCTTCAAAATTCGATATTTTCACTTTTTCTCAAATATCTCGAATACGGTCCAGTTAAGAAAAATTATGTATAAAACAAGAATTATAGAAAATAACATAAGAAGTAACTTCTATTTAAAGATTTTTCTTGTCCAAACGTAAATAACCGATATATTTCATAAAATAAAAAAAATATTCCCTATAAAGTACCCCCAGATGTGCGCACGCACACGCAAGCGCGCACACACACACACACACACACACACACACACACACACACACACACACACACACACACACACACACACACACACACACACACACAGACACATACACACACACAGACACAGACATAATCGCGAAAATAGTCAAAATGGATTCAGGGGACTCCAAAACGTAAAAATCCTTCGAAAACTCGATTTCGAAAAAAAACATGATTCCCAAAAAGGCAAAAACGACAATGCACCTTGGATTTCCTTATTCAGATTTACCAGGGCAGTTTCTGTTTATCTTTCTTATAGGTACGCGTGGTGGCTGTGGTAGAATGGCGCACTTTCCAGGATTTATGTTCTAATATGATTATCATCAATCGTCTCCACTGTTTTTAATACAAAGAATGTGAGGCTTATTGATTGAAATGAGTTAGGATGTGTGGTATCGTTTTCCCTACAGTTAGAACAAAGATGACTTTAGTTAGATTTTCTCGACGGTCCTGGAATATATTCCAGTTTCAGGCTACTCTGGGATATCTGGATTGAATCATGAAAAAAAAAAGATCACAGGAATAATCCGCAAAGGAAATAAAACCCAATCGACGCTGATCAGGTGTTAGTGTGCCACCGAAAGAAAACATCCTACAATATATGCTAATATAAACATAAATTCCACTGTAAATTCAGTCAAATAATAAAAAAAAATCAATAAACAAAGAAGCAACTGTTTCGCTTTTCTCCATGTTCGCTTTTATGCCCATAAGGTTTTTCCGTGTGCGGTTTTGTCCCTGTGCGGTTTTGTCCATGCGTTTTTTCTGGTCACTATGTGGATTATATGTGGTAGTAATTTCTCATCTTTCCGCTTAAGCAAGGTATGAGATTTAAACGGTTTAAAAGTGATCACAGCCTACTTTAACCAATTGCGTTTGGTTATGCTAATAAAAAAATTGAATAGTAAAAAATATCGGTAAACGTATTTAATTTTTTTCGACGGCCATTGTCACCACACTTCCAGACTCTATTTTTTTTAATTCAAAAATCAGATTTACTGAACCAGAAACAGTACGAGTAAAAATGTATAAAAGTAGACTTGATTTTCCGCCATATTGGTCGACACGAAAGATACGCTTACGGGTCCAAATTTTGTATAATATCAAAAATAATTATACATGATTTTGTAAATTTAAAATCGACGTAAGGTTTTAAGTGAAACATAATAATTATACCAGTAAATACTTCACCTTGGAGTATTTGCGATAAAGTCAATCAACTCTTATCTTTTGAGATGTATTAGAGGTAAATTTGAGTAATTACATATGATTGCGACAAGTCGGTTTATTTTTATACACTTCAAATAGTCGTAAAACTATCTCAATTTGTTGTGAAAATTGTCATAGTCCATACGTTTTTGACAGAAGACGTCATGCCAGAACGATACATTCAAAAACTTCTTGAGATATTTTGATGTTTAGTATCAAAGAAAAAATTTATACTGTATCCTTGGGTGTATTTTAGACGTGACATACTTCTAATTGTGGTACTTTGATATTGATGTGAAATCCGGTTATTCTGTGGGTTTAGTCTCAATAGTGTGGATTAACCTTGCACTTGGTTACTCGTGTATTGTTCAGGTGAGCTGGCAGTTATCGTAGCCCTGTTAGAGGGTAATAGCAATTGGTACTATTTATTTTGTTAAGTTTTGTTAGTCTTTGGAATATACACTTACTCCAAAATCTAAGTATATTATGAAGCAAACAAAGTTTATTTATTCCATACAACCAGCGATCACAGGGTCATTCTACTACTGTTTTACTGCACATCTACATCACTAGAAAAAAACTTTAGTAAAATAGAAGAAAACTTTGACTTAGAATCAGATCATTATCCGTTGATAACGATACTAAACGAATATATAATCTAAAAAAATTAGAACTGCACTGTGTAATTTAAAGACAGACTGGGTAAGATTTAAAGCTGCATTAAGTAATATAATTGAACTAAGTGCACTAGTAAGAACAAAAGAACAGCTAGAGTACGAGCTGGAAAAATTTGTCATTGATATACAGCAAGCGATATGAAACAATACACCATAAAATACAAAAAAAATGTAGGCAATTTATACTCTAGAGTCTAGAAAAATAAAAGAACTTATAAATAAGAAGATAAAAAGCAACAGACTAACACCACAGCTTAAACAAGAAATATTTACTAATAAAAATGAATCAATAGACACATTTCTCAGAAAATTGACGAACAAAAATAATGATTACTCTCTGTTGAAAGGGATTAGAACACTTTAACGTCTAATAGTTCATGTGCCACCAATAAAAGAAGACAACGGAAACTGGACAAGATCAAATAAACAAAATATCTCATATATAGGTACCTCCTAGCACATAAACCAGCCTACAGATAACTCACTAATATAATAAACGCTACATTTTGACTAGAGCTTGTACCTAGCATCTGGAAAGTGGTGGGGTTGGTTGTAGCTTAGCCATTACTTTGTAGTTTAGATTTCCTGCTTTCACACTCGCTTAACACGCCCGCTTTGTGGGAAGATAACTTTTCTACGGGACGATTGAGAAACGCAACCATCGAGTGCTTGCCTACTCGTGGCAGGAAGAAGCTTTTGAAGGAAACGAAAATGGCTGCAGGAACGTGGACGAAGGAAAATCCCCACAAGTATGCAGCCCAAAAACGAACCCATCGGAGGGAGGACAAACCAAAGAAAGGGGGTAAAAGGCCCCGATCTGAGTCGTAGACTCCCCCCACTCGAAGTGGAACTAAGCGGGCCAGAAATGCTCCGGCATCGGCTGGCTCGTATAGCGACACTTTGAGGGGTATCCCACTGGCTGTCATCCAAAGAAGGCATCCAGATACAACCCTAGACCAAGTACAAGGAGACTTGGTACAAGAAACTCTTGTATCCCTTCAGGCAGTGAAGCAGCACCACAGTTCCTTAGAACATCTTTTAGCGCAGGGGTCATTTGGATGACCTGCGCTAACCAGCAGAGCGCGGACTGGTTAAGAAGGACGGTCAGTACTCTGGGAAACCTTTGTGAGGGCGCAGATTTGACCGTGGTTGAATTTAAGGACCTCCCGAAAAGACCCAGGGTTCTGGTTTTCATCCGGGCTTAAGAATGAACTGGGGGAGTACACAATCACAGGGAAAGAAACAGTAAGGGAACTCCTTAGGGTTTACTTCCCTGGTGCACAAACCATAGCACACACACACCGGCTAACCGGAATCTAAATGGACTGGAAGCTCATAATAGAGCCAACAGGGAAGATTGAAGGATAGCCAAACAAGTGGTGAACTATGATAAACTGAAATGTACAATTAGCTCATTCAAACCATATAAATCACCGGGCATGGACGGGATTTATCCAATAATGTTACAAAGAGGTCCTGATATTTTATAAAGCAGACTCTGTAATATACTCAGAAGTAGCCTGACCTTTGAACACATACCAAAAGCTTGGAGAAATATTAGGGTAAATATTATACCTGGGAAAATAGGACAGGAAACGGCAAAGTCCCTAAGACCAATAAGTCTTATGTCCTTTGTACTTACGACTTTGAAAAAACTGCTAGATAGGCATATTAGAGACGGGATATTGGTTCAGAGGCCGTTGAATCGATCATAAGATCTCTCAAACACAGAGGAATCGCGGACACGTGCGTGTCCTGGATCGACTTTTATGAGAGAGATAATAGCAGCACGGGTAGCGAGAGGATGTCCGCAGGATAGAGTGCTGTCTCCACTCCTGTGGAACCTTGTAGTGGACGGGCTGCCTATGGCTCTCAAAGATAAGGGACATAGAACCCTGGGATATGCCGATGATCTAGTGATCATGGCACAGGGAAAATACAACACTATAGTAAGAGATCGAATGCAAAAGACTCTAAATATAGTAACAAAATGGGCAGAGGCGGAAGGACTAAACATTAGCCCAAACAAATCTTAATAATAATAATTGCATTTACCCGCAGGAGCAAATTGGAGGGACTAGGGCCTCTAAACCTAAAAGGTGCAAGCATCCAGCTTAAGGGGAAGGTAAAATATCTCGGGGTTATGATTGACTCGAGACTTACCTGGAACCAGCATCTGGAAAAAACCAAAAGGAGAGCGGAAACCTCGTTAATGATGGCAAGGCGATCCTTTGGAAAAAAAATGGGGGTTAAAACCAGACATAGTATATTGGCTTTATAACATGGTGGTGAGACCGATAATAACATACGCAGCTTTGGTGTGGTGGCCAAAGACACAGCAAAGGAAAGCAATAACGAGGCTAAATAAGGTACAAAGACTTGCCTGCCTCGGAATAACGGGGACAAGGAAAACAACCCCCACAGTTGCAACGGAAGCACTAATAGGACTCCCATCTCTTCACTATGTGATCCAAGGGGAGGCAAGTTTACGTGCTTACAGATTAGGGAATAAAAACTCCTATATTTGCAATTAACAATTTGTTAAAAAATCAATTTCGTTGGCAAGAAAATGTATTTAAGTGATAAACGACAGGTAAGCACGGAAGAAGGTGAACGCAATGTCAAACAACTCTTCAGAAGAGTAGCAGCAGCTCTGCCAGGCATGGACTCCACGGAGAATAAGCCGCCAGAAAATATGCAAGAAGTCGTCTTAAAAGACACTCCAAATGAGCTTAAGGATCCCGATGGTGGTTGTGCGTGTTGACTCTGTATCTGTCTAATGTAAAAAATTATCCACTTCTGTGCTTGACTGCGTATGTACTGACACTGACCGTTTTGTAAAGTGACTACAAGCAATGACAATTTGTAGCTATTAACTTGGCTTCACTCGTTTTTAAAAGCATATTGATTTTTGCTCGGGATTGGATGATTTTAATTTTACTTACTCCTCGGTTTCATAATAAATTAGCTTCTTATCTTATAGGCTTCAAACTCATTTCCTCCAGTTTGTTTAAGAGTAAAAAAAGTTTTAAGTGAAAATTAATATTTTTGTATCGAATGTGATTTTTTTTTGAGCGTATTTTTAACAAATCTCAAATTTTGGTGATTTTTTTCGTACTTAGTTTTAAGAGGACATGCTTTTTGCACAATTTCGATTCGTATTTTTTAGCTCAAGTAGGTAGGATATATTCTTAAATGAAGTATGCTTTTAGACATGACGTGACCCGATTTCTGTTGGCTGCTTTATAATTCTTTTTCGTTTCTACAATAAAGTCAATTTGAAAACGTTTCTGGGGTTAAATTCGTATCTTTTTTGCGACAATAAGTAGTTTTTGTAACGATCGATTTAATATCTAAATTTTCACTTTTATATTCCACAGAAGATTTTGATGTGTGTACAATTTTAAATGGTAATTGTAGCTGGAATCTAATCTCAGAAACCTAGGTGGTAATTTTCACAACTTGAGGTTTACAAAATAATACAGGGTACCCATTTTGCAAGTTATCTATAAATTAACTCGGAAATATGGGTGTCCCAAATTATTTTACCCATGCTGTAACTTCTAAACCATGCAAGATAATTGAACTGGACAAAAGTCATACATTATAGTTGGCGGTGTACTTTGAAACAAAAAACAAATTTTATGACCAACCTGGTAAAACCCCCTCAAATATTATTAACGACACCCTAATTTTTTTTCTGCTTATTTTTGTAGTTGCTACTTTTCTATGTACAACTGTTTTTAAAATTTCGTTTTTTTTTTTTTATTTTCATCAAGTTGATTGCTGTCAATTTCATAGTAAGTTTTCTAACGCATTATAAACAATACTATGTCAATCTGCCTCTTGTCAAATAGAAGTGCACTCGATAAAGTTAGCAGTTTTTACTTGATAAAGTTTGCAATAATTTAGAGTTTGTCAAGTCCTAACAAATTATTTCAAAATGCCTAATCTGTTTAGTTCCAACGAGTACACCGATATGATAATTATTTACGGCGAATGTTGCAAGAATTCAAGATAAGCTGGACAATTATATTATGAACGTTTTCCGAATAGAACAATTCCCTCAGTTAGAACGTTTTCCAATTTAGAAAGAAGTCTTAGACAAGGACATTTTCCTGACGGTAAACATCATGGAAGACACAACAGAATAATCAGAAATGAAGAAAATATTATACACGTTTTGGCTTACGTTCATGTAAATCCACATGTTTCTATCAGAGATTTGGCACTCAAAATTGGAATAAGCAAAAGTATCATCCAAAGAATATTAAAAGACAATAAATATCATCCTTATAAAATACACTTGGTCCAAGGTTTACTCCCTAACGATCTTGAAAGACGCCTAGACTTTCTCGCTAGAATGCAGGTGAAACTTAATGACGATGCCACATTCTTAGATAAAATATTATGGAGCGACGAATCACGTTTCCATAATAATGGTTTATTAAATCGTCATAATTCCAATTACTGGTCCCCAACAAATCCCCACTGGGTAAGAGAAACAAGAGTTCAAACATTTGGGACATAAACGTATGGTGTGGTTTGTTCAATGGTAGGATTATTGGTCCTCATTTTTATTAAAACACTCTAACGGGAATAAAATATCGTGATTTTTTAATCAATACCATTCTTGATTTGTTGGAAGGTGTTCCTCTTAATCAAAGACGCAATATTATGTGGTGGCAGCAAGATAGTGCACCAGCGCATAATGCACAAATTGTGAGCCAATATTTGGCAAACACTTATGGAAACCGTGTTATATCCACGCATTATCCAATTATCCAGTGGCCGGCTAGGTCACCTGATTTGTCACCTCTAGATTTTTTTTTCTGGGGTACTATAAAGGACGTAGTATATGAAACAAAACCAGAGAACTTAGAAGATTTAAGAAATAGAATCAGACATGCTTGTAACAGATTTACATTAGCCATGATTCGAGCTGTCTGTACTAGAAATTTATTGTTAAGGTTTGACAAATGTGTTGAAGTGGGAGGTGGGCAATTTGAGCACTTATTATAAGTTATTGCTACTCTTTGTTTGTTGATATTTATTTCTTGTCTTCTCCTTCTCTTGTTTCAATGTATTTTTTTAATTATATGTCACCTAATAAAGTATTTTTTATCATCAACTTGACATACAGTTTTATTTAATTTCTCACTTATTTATGGAGCGATTTTAAAATTTTAAAAACAGTTGTATAGAGAAAAGTAGCGACTACAAAAATAAGCAAAAAACAATAGGGTGTTGTTATTAATTTTTGAGGGGGTTGTTCCAGGGGGGTAGTTTTTAAAGGTGGGTTGTCAAATTTTTATTTGTTTTAAAGTACACCGCCAATTATAATGGATGATTTTTGTCCGGTTCGATTATCTTGCATGGTTTAGAAGTTATAGCCTGGGAAAAACAATTTGGGACACCCTGTATATCCAGAGTGTTTTTTTTTAACATGATATGACGTTTTTAAATTGTGATACCAAAAAATAGCGTAACATCAGTGGGAAATATTGACATTAGGCCAGGTCACATGAGTATCTCAAGGTTAGTGACAGGAGACGTATTAGACATGAGATCAGACCAAATAACCAAGAGGTACTCCTTTAATACTCCATTTGAGGTTTTAATACAGAAAAGAGCAGAGATCACCATAAATGAGCCCTATGCCCAACGACAGGAATAAACCTGGTATACAGACGGGTCTAAGACTGCGGAAGGCACTGAGGTGGGAGTATTCTTTAAAAACCCTGATACTAACCATAGCTATGCTATAGGAATACATTCCTCGGTATTTCAGGCCAAGGTATACCCAATTTTGCAATGTGCAAAGACAAACAATGAAAGAGCTGTCGAAAATCAGCATATTCAAATAATTTCAGAGAGCCAAGCGGCACTAAAGGCTATATCTAGTCAGAAAGTTACGTCGAGGCTGGCATGGGAATGCATCGAAGAACTAAGAACATTAGCATACCGAAATAGAGTAAAACTATTTTGGGTGCCAGATCACCAACGGATCGAAGGCAACGAAAAGGCTGACGAACTTGAAAAAAGAGGGTCAGAAGAAACACCGGAACCAAACACAAATTCAGGAGTACCAAAAAGTACAGTCCGGGGTTTCATAAACGACTGGATTCGGGAACAACATATTAACCGACACATGGACCATGACCCAAAAGAACTGAAGAACTACTCTTTATGAATAGAAACCAGTTGAAAGTGTTACCAGGGTTCATGACTGGGCACGCCCCAGTAAAGGGACACTTAAACAAAATTGGCATGTACGATGGGGTACTCATGTGCCGACTATGTCACAAGAAACCAGAAACGGCCAAACGCATACCCCAGGTTGATCCAACAACGTATAGAATCCACTCACCCAAGGATCTGTACAAACTTGTACAAGGTACAAAGGTGACAAAGTGGGTGCCATGAACTAACATGGTGTAAAACACAATAAGCCAATAGGCTTCAGTGTTATTCGGAGACATAGTCAGACGAGCCCAGGAGAAAAAAAAAAACAGGTGATAGGTACCTCCTGGCACATGAACCAGCCTACAGATAACTCACTAATATAATAAACGCTACATTTCGACTAGAGCTCGTACCTGGCATCTGGAAAGTCGCTGAAATTATAATGATACCCAAACCTGGAAAACCACCATATAAAGTAACGCCCTATAGACCTACTCGTATATTCCTAATACTAGTGCTGTCTAAACTTTTTTAAAAATTTCTAATTAAATTGAATCCAATGATAGACCTGACCACAAATTTGAATTTAGGAATAAGCATTTCACTAATGATCAAATACACATAATAACGAGTAAAATAGAGAAAAAAAGAAAGATGTAGCTCAAGCTTTTAACAAAGTATGGTTAGAGGCAGTTTAATATAAAATAAATACATATTTACCTAAGCAATATTGTGACATCTTAAAATCCTACTTGACCGATAGAATCTTTAGTGTAAAATAAGAAGAATATTTCACACTCAAAGAAACTAAAGCAGGAAGTGTTCTGGGGCCAGTTTTTTACCTGTTGTTTTCCTCCGTTATACCACAAACGGAAAATGTGAATGTAGCCACATTTACCGACAACACAACCATACTTGCCATCGGTAAAACCTTAGAAGAATCGACAAGAAAACTTCAACAAGCAACTAATAAAATCGACGAGTGGACAAAAAGATGGCGCATAAAGTTCAACGAAACTAAAATAGTTCAGATTAACTTTCCTAATAAAATATCAGCAGGATACCTACCAGTGATATTAAATAATACTATAATATCATGTTCTAACTCGGCGAAATACTTAGGCAAGAACCTAGAAATAAATTCAAAGTGGAAAGAACATATTATTTTAAAGAGAAAACGGGAAGAGTTGGGTATTAAATATAGAAAATTATACTGGTTGAAGAAGAGAAAATCAACACTTTCAAATAAATTTTTAATATACAAACAAGTAGGTACTGAAGCCAGTATGGACTTATGACATGCAGGTCTGGGGGTGTGCCAGTAAAAGTACCATAAATATAATACAACGTTTCCAGAACAAAATATTAAGGGAAATAGTAAACGCTTCTTTTATGTAAGGAATCCAGACCTTTACAAAGATCTGAGAAGAAGAGAGGAAAACCATCGCAAAAAATTAAAAAAAGACTACATGATCACGTGAGTATTGAAGTTCCTGTACTGTCACATCTAGTAAAATAATAAAAAACCATTATTAGTCTAAGATCCGAAGTAAGGTCGACCTTCACCCATCTGTTTAA